TTACGAGATAGAAAATTACTTATAATTTGAGATGATTGAAAGTGAAATGAAAATTTTGACTGCAACCGGATTCGAACCTGCGACCAACGAGTTCACAACCCCATGATCTACTAACTCACTTACGAGGTCTAACTTCTGACCAGATTTTTATTTCACTTCAATCAACCATCAACGGTTTTGTCCGACTACCATACTAATTCGTGACGCCTTACTACCTTCCAACATTACCCAGTATAAGTACTAGTCTCTCAAACTACGGATAGTCAAATGAGAATTACCTATGTCAAATTGTAGAATAAAACGAAGGACAAAATGGTAGTTCGGATACTGGATACTACCGTTTACAGGAAACCGTCATATTCCAACAGGCATCTAGACTTCAAGTCATCTTATCCAATGTCAATTAAGGCAGGTTTAATCAAAGGTCTAAGGTGATAGAGCTAGAAAACTGACTAGTCAGTCCAAGGATCAAAACAAGGAGTTGAAACACGTAAACGAAGCTCTAATGGTTAATAATTATCCTCTACAGTTTATTAAGAAATTCATACGAACGCACAATAAACAAAATAACAATAATAACGACAATACAATAGAAAGGAGTTCACAGACTCCATTGTATCACCCTATAAGGTAGGAAGGTACATCAGAAATTGTACGTAGGACCCACAACAAAGCTGGAATTGGTTATGGTAGCATTTAAACCTACAAATTCACTTGGAGATAAGCTTTGTCGGCTGGCTTATTGATCCGGTGGAACCAATTCAGCAGAATAATCTAGTCCATCAAATTCCATGTAATGGCTGTAAGTCAGGTCAAGTACACAGGTGAAACTAGTCAGTTGGTCAGGGTCAATTAGACTAGTGGAACATAAGAATTTACCTAAACATAGAATGACAAACTTCAAGAGAGTCAATAATCGAGAAAAACACTCGATATAGCGATGGATACACATTAATACACACCCACACAATAGGGTGGGTGGGATAAAGCCAGTGTGCTTAAATGCAGCATAATTACACAGAAGCGAGCGCGAGAAAGAGATTGATTAGTGAATCTTTTTCCTGATGTTAAACTTTGTAGGTCTCCATCGTTGACTAAACCGAATTGGTCGGCTGCTATTGGCATATGGACGCCTAAATATTAATAATGAACAATGGCTAGTGATGGAGTTTAGTAGCAAGTTTCTTCTTCCTATCTAGGACTCATATATCAGTTGGATATGCCTGCCTCTCAGTGAGTCATGTTGTGCTGAATAACACATCAACCCAAGACCTACATCTGACAACTATACAATGGATTATTATTACTTTTTGTCCCTAGGGCTTCAGTAGCACATCTTCGGTGAGCTCTGTTCTCTGAAATCTTCTGGACCTGGCTGCACCACAGCCCATAACCTCTCATTTATTCCTACATGATCTCCTCCATCTCATCCTCACATCAGACACCCAACTCGTCACTTCCCATCTCGATTCCACTCAACAACCTGGCCTAGCAAGTGATGTCTCCCAATGGTCTTCTCACTACATGCCCAATACAATCCATCTCCACTTCCTCCCACTGCATATTTATTCACCGATAGCTTCTTGCTTTGTTCCTTCGTACCAGCCACAGAGTGACTTCCTTCTTGCTCATTCTTTCTCACCTTCTCATCTGAGATTCAGTAACGAGGCAGTGTAGGCAGTAGTTGTTGATGAATATCTGTAGTTTGTTGGAAATCCCTTTGGTGACACACCAAGTCTCCCAACCATCACATGGAAGCACTGACTTACTTGACTGGATTGGTGTTGGAAATCCGGATGTTGTTGATGCTTCATGCTTCATGGTGAGTGCAGTGCAGTGCAGTGCAGTGAGTGCAGTGGAGTGCAGTGGAGTGCAGTCGATCTCCTCACTGGTTTCAGGTTAATGGAGCAAGGTGTGTCTTGGTGTCTTTCCAATCCTGACTGACTTTGATATCCTCGTGTTTGCCCCGTGTCGCCGTGTGTAGTTGAAACAATGCTGCGTAGATAGGTGTTTGTGAAGGAGGCTACTTCCTTTAAGTTTCTCCTGTTCATGGTGATTGGTGTTTGTTGTTGTTGTTGATGGTGATGTCGTTGATTAGGTATCATTATCACCTGTGTGTTCTCTTCGTTCAGTTGGAGTGCCGTCTTCGCTGCCCTGCCCTGCCCTACCCTGCCTCTTCTGTCAACTTGTTAGTTTTCACTTGTAGATCTTCGAGTGTGTGCGACATCAGACACAAATCATGATGGGTGAAATCCAGATCTTCTAGGTTCTTTTCTGCAGTCCCGCGTATACACTTAAAAATACTATTCCTCAACGTTGATGATGGGACGCTGAAAAGATCCCTCTTGAAAATCTACATGAAATTGACAAATGATAAACTTTGATAGCTGAATTCCTATCCTACCATTTCATTTCCCCTCAAATTTGGAAGATCTCGACTTCTGATACGTGAGAAAACTTCTAACATCGTTGTTCATCTCAAATAGATACCCAGAAGGGGGATTTGTAGATAAACATTTACATCGAGATACTATTCATCTGCCTCATTTCATTGTAGGAAGGAAAAATTTCGTATCAAAGTTGAACTTCAGTAGACGAGGTACTTACAAAGCAAACCAGTGAGACTGGTTCATAGAAAAGTCTATCGAATCACTTTGGAAATCACCTATGTATATATACTACAGAAGAATATAGTCTAAGTGTTAGCCACTTCACTGTGAATGTACCATATCACCTGCTCCTGGGGTGGGAGGGGGGGGGGTAGGTGTAAAGTTCGTGTGCGGAGGTAGATTGCCACACATCGATATCAACACACCTTCCAGTATCGCTTAGTAAAGATGAGTTCAGATCAAATAGTAGCTCCATATTACAATATTTGGTTGATACTGGTCATATACTACTTATAGAAGATTCCTTTCTATTAGTCTACAAAGTACAACGTAATCCTCTAAAGGAGGATATGAAGACATTTACTTTGTATTGCTGATGCTTTACCAATATAACAATCGAAACTGGAATTAAGTATCTCTAAAGGGGGTGGGGGTAGGGTGGGTTGAAGATACGCTTTGCTAACGATTATCAACAAGCAGGAAGCATATTTCAAGCAAACTTTCTTGCTGACAACCAATCAAAATCAATCAAGGTTCATTGCGACTCAGAGCCTCTTTGTTTTATCACTAGGCAACAAAATAATTTCAGTGACCAGGCAATATATGTGTTTAATCCATACAGTTGTACACAGGAAGTGAATCTCTGCCCAAATATCTCAATGGTTACACCTATGATTACAGAACTGAGTGACGCCAGTTCTATTCTCTAAGGCTACATCAGCTGAGGAGTACCAAGAAATACCAAACACTAAGATCATGTAAAGATATTTTCCGACTGCCTCCGATCAGTTAACTATCATCAATGATCAGCAATTAGAAGGGGATGACATTGTAATAGTTTGCTAATCAGCCATCAAACACTGTTGTTTTAAATCATCATTACGCGTAGTTGGAATCTGGAGGTCTGTTACGATTTCATTGATTTCAGTATAGTATTTATCAGTAATTGAAATCAGTTCGAGAGGACATGAGAGCACTAAACAGCTGTTTCCTCTTAGTACATGACTAGTCCACAGTGCACACCCATGACCCTATGACCTTCACCTTCCCCGGACAGCATGTTACCACTAAGCCTTTGGGATCTACAACGTTCTGCTTCTAACAGGTAGCGATATGGCATGTCCTCCTTTCATAGGCGTTGGTAACCACCTCTCCTCACGCTCTACTTCTTTAGCCCTGCTGTCACAACTTCACATTAGAATGGAAATAAGCAAATAATGAAGAGATTTATGGGGATTTTACGGATTTCTTTCAGAAGCATAGCACCAAAGAAAACTTTTTCATTGTAGAGCTGTAATACAGTCATTGATAGACTTTGTTTACCAACAATTTCTGAAAAAAACTCTATTCATTGTTTTTGGTGGAACAAAACATACCATACTGTAAAATTCAGTCAGTTAGTTTAGAAGTAGTATTCATCATGGACTGATATCAGTTGGGGAACCATTGAAAATCTGGGAGCACTGGACAGCTGCTTCGTCCAACTAGTATGGGACTCCTCAGCAGTACGCACCCACGACCCGGCTAGGAGTCGAACCCAGGACCTTCAGGTTTCACGGCAAAAGCGTTAATCATTCAGCCACTGGGTCGGTTTCCAGTGGTTCGCAATTTCCAACTTCTATCAATTCACTACATAGTGCGACTATCACCCAAGGTCTTCAGTTAGCATCCACTTCACATCTGACTGGTTGACCCCACAAGTTACCACTTCTCATTAGAGCTTCCTGATATCAGTCAGTAAGTGTTGGAAACAATTTTTTGAAACATTCATTTGTGAAGGTCATTGCATTGTGTTGAATAACTCATTGTTAATCTTTATGTGCTTCACAAGGTTTTTTATTGTAGAAGGGGTGGGCAAGAAGATCGTGGTAGGTAGCGTTTATTACACGCTAACACTTTTGTTGCTTAGACACAAATTCGACGCTGTAGTGAAAGTTTCAATGCATTTCATGTGGCAATAGAGCACTCTGTATGTGGAATATATCGGTCGTAGTCTCCTTAACATGATACTGTCATATTCTGAAAGTTGATTCGTTCCCTGCAACATTTGAAAAAGAATATACCCCTTTCTTCATACCTCTTTGCAATTTTTTCATAATAAAACTTATCTGGGTAATCATTTTTCAATTTATTGGTCAATTCTTCTAGGCAAAAATAATTCATACGGCCGATTCTAACTTCTCATTGGTTTAAATAATAATATGAAATTCCTTAATTTCTGATTGGTTTATATTTACGCTAAGTTAGAACCAATCAGCAGCGAACATTTTCTATATTCGACTTAAATTTACCCCTAGATTAAATCAAGACTTTTATATTAACCAGAAAACAGTTTTATGATTACTATTTGTACATAATATTGATTCATTGATTAAAACTCAGTTAGAGACAATGGAATATTTGACTAAATCAGAATTAAATAATTTTCCAATCAATACTACTACTACTAATGATAATAATAATAATAATAGTGATAACTCTAATTCAAGTCTTGCAGCATCATGTACAGCTTTTAACTCGTCGTCATTATTTGATTTCAACACATATTATGCGTCAACAGCACACTTGATAAATTTCCCTACTGAATCAATAAATTCTGAAATATGTAGAAGTAACACAGAGTTCAGTGATAAAGCCAAGACAAACGGAGAACTATTGATCAATTCAGATATTCCAAATGTAACTGGAATTAATAATGATAACACTATAATCTCAACTGATGAAGGTACTAATAATAATCCGAAAGCTGTAAATTCCAGTGATACAAGAAAAAGGAAATATTCTACGAAAACTAGTAAGTAATGTTTTATCATTTATTGTTATCTGTATTGTTTCCGGTCATGTGTAGACCTTAACGCGTACTACGTATGCCTAGTCACCGATTGCCTCGTCACACAATGTCGGCTGAGGTGGATCCGGGCTGGAAAAAGGCTCGAGGTGGCCAGACTAAAACATGACACCAATGTATGAAGCCTCTGACTGTTGGTTTAAGCCATGTAGGACGATGTAGACTAGGTGGTTGGGGTCCACGGGACAAGAGGAACCAGTGGTTGGAGACCCTAGGTGATATTGCTGAGAACCGAAGTCAGTGGCGCAGATGTATACACACATTATCCTCATCTTAACAACGCTATACCGAATCTCACTATTTTGTCACTCCTCCTTTCTTTCTTCTCGTACTTTATATTTCTTTTGACTGCATTCACTTATCTTCATCTTTCACCTCACTACCTTTTTACTTGATGTGCTGATATGAGGTGTGGCAACTCGGACTGTTACGCAGTAATGCCTAGTCCTATGTTGATAATGAGACCTTAACGCAAAAATTCCAACTATCAGCAAACAGCAGTTGATACCCGTTGTAAAAGAGGTGACCATCGTACCCTAGGGGGGTAGTGGAAAACGTTTTGACATTTGAAGCGATGCGCACTGGGTTCGAGTTTCACTGGGAACAACATAACTCATTAGGGTGCAGGTACACCCGGCTGACGAGTCCCTAATAGGATGAAACATGAATCCTGGATCCTACTGATAGTCTCGAAGTAGACTACAATATAATCAATACCCAGGCAGTATCGAGGCCTTCATCTACATAGTAGTCCATCTAAAGTCTTCTTTGACCTAGTTTAATCGATTTCGGTCGATTGGACATAATCAGTACACATTTCATTATAGTATATTCCTATGCAGAATGGAGTATTCACTGAAACGCAGAGGACTGACGGTGTTTTATACTACTGGACTACATGAGTAGTCAGAGACCATCTATAGAACTCACTAACTAGATGAAACTGATCTAAGTGTCCGACAGAGGTTTCACTTACCTGAAGGTGAGCTCTGTACTCAGATAGGTCACCTAAATCTGACTAGTTGATTTACATGGATCAGCTTACAAAATATTCAAGAATTGTACGGTCCACATTGACATTTCTCACAGCTGAATAGTTTATCAACTGCCCAACTGTGGTTTCAGCTGGGTTTTCATGGGGAACCACCCATTGGCTAAGAACATGAGGTGTGATCTCTAATACAAAAGTGTTATTGACATAAAACAGTTTGCCCTCATCAGCTGAATTTGGCCTAGTACACTACTGATGAGTTCGACCCCAGACGGATGAAAAGGCCCTATGGTAATTGGATTATTCTGGTGAAATACCACAGATCAACGTTAGTGATTTCTAACTACTCAATTTGTTCACTAGAAGTATATTTGACCAGTTCATGACAGTTTTTTGGGTTAAAGATCACATCTTATGATGTTTGATGACTGTTGGTTTCCAATGGAAACTTTGCTGACCCCACCACAGCAGTTTTCTAGTCTGTATGGTGTCTAGGAGGTTGATGTTAGGTTCACATACATCTATCAGAACACTTCGTTTTGGTAAATTTCATGCGAGGCATAAAGCCAATAACTTGATGCCTATCACTAGCACAAATCCATCAGAACACAAGACAGGGGTAATAATTTTTCATAAGCAGAATATGCTTCTAAAGATTTTATTCTATAAAATGACTACCTGAGCTTCCTGCTAGAAGGAAAACTTTCGACTTTTTTAAGCAGTAAACTTCTAACTACTAATAAGTAGCTCATTTGAACATGTGAAATAATTGTATACCAAAGCTCAGTTTTCAGTTTCAACTGATGGTAAATTCCACTACATCTTGAAGAAAGATCTTTGCATAGTATATGATCCAAAGATATTTCCCGATAAATAAGCGTTTCTGTTCGACAATTGCTGCTGTCAGCATGTAGGATAAATGTGATCATCAAAAACCTGGAAGCACTGGACAGCAGTTTCATCGTCGTATAGGAGTCACCATCAGTAGGCGGATCTAGGAAGCTATGGACTACTAAACTTCAACCCAGTGGCTGAATACTTAACGAGTTCGTCGTGAAACCTGAAAGTCTTGATTTCAATCCCTTGTGGAGTGGAGTCGTGGATGTTAATTTCTAAAGAGTCACATATTAGATTAAAACACCTGTCCAATTCTCCCAGTTTTTCAATAGTTCTCCAAATTATGTCGATCTGTAATGAATAGTGCCAATTTGGCGTTCAGTTTCAAGGTTACACGAGGTAGACGTTTCTTACAAGTAAAATATTTACGTCTATCTTTTTCAAAAGTGGATGCCATTTAGTAGTCTGGATGTTTTGATTAGTAGTGGTGAAGTGAAAACCTAGTAAGTAGTTGAGTGTCACGTCTAACACGGTAGAACACTGGGGCAGTAATCCAGAAGGATTCAGTGATTCAGCTTTTCTAATTTCACCTTCATTCATCTCAGCATATCAGTAAAACCAGTGTGTTGAACCATAGTTATCTTACAACAATCCATACAGCCGTCTTCGCCTCTTATTCAGCTCGATTTGGATTCGGGTCAAGAAGACATGGTTAGGCAGCTGGACGACATTCCCTGACGACTGAAATAAGGCTTAGACCGGGTCAGCAACTGGATTCTGTGTCTCAGTTTATTGAAGGGCAGAAATTTAAGACCATATCGCTGAGGCTGCCAGCTTGAACATTGTATGCATGTGTGTATGTATGTATGTATGTATGTATGTGTGCGTGTGTGTGTGTGTGTTTCCGTGCCGATGTACTACAGTTGACTAAGTGCTATGCATATAATTTAATTGACCGATTTATGATGAAAATTCAGGTGATAACTGACAGTAAATTTAAATTTTTCTCCGTGAATCTAAGGAGAAAACAATTTTAAACATCTTGTCTGAAAGGATATTAGCTCAGAATGAAAACTTATTGAGAAACATAAAGATCATTTTTCATAGTAGTTTTTAATCAGAAGATGGACATGAGTTAGAGAACTGTGGAATATATGAGCCCACTGATCAGCTTGGTTTATCCCCTCCCCTTCTCCCGTCAATTCACTCCACCCATGTGTCTGAAACTTCTCAGTAATACCCACTGACATTTGAATTCAAATTAAAGTCCATTGCCGTTCGGTAGCTTACTTCGATACACAAGTTCTCAATTACGTGGTAGGACAGTTACTCAACAACTATATTAGATGAGGATTACAGAACTATGAAGATATAGGTCACTTTTCTTTCATTTGAGTGGCTGAACTGTTGATCCCGGTCACCTGAGACCAACCCCCATGGCGTCATGGGTATGTAAATGACTGAAGAGTCCTGAGAGAGAACGAAATGGTCATCCAGTGTTTTGAGGTTATTTATTGATCCGCTAAACACTACTTTGAGATTAACCAGTGCCAACGAAACTTGAAACTTGATGATTGTTGACTGAACTGTCAATGAGATGTATCAACAACCTCGACAGAATTGATGTCCCCTTAGAGACCACCCATGCCTATGTGTTGTAGTCAACTTCCTGTTGTCTTTATTGTCAGTCTTTAGTGTTGATTACATCCCCCAGCCTAATTACTCGATTCCAAGACGTGATCGATAAAATTGGCTACTTTTCAGTGAGGAATCACTGCATATAATCTACTTCAAGTGAAGGTCATTACTGGCCTGAATAGCTCAATGGTAACGTTACAGACTACATCACTGAGTGACGTGGGTTCGAATCCCAGGTAGAATATCATCAAGATTAGGCAATATGAAATCGACTGGTAATCAAACAATCCATCTCATCTAGTCCTATAGAAGCTAAGTCAAAAACCGAATAGCTTAGTGATAACGTTTCACACTTCAGCACCGTCCAACATGTGGATATGAATCTCATAGGGAACACTAATCCCCTTGCTAAGAAAGCCAGAGTAAGCATAACATCCAACCGATATGGCCTCTATCCAATTAGCATCTAACAGTATAATGTAATTACTGACAATAATGAGTTACCCGTTCAAGCCGCAGAAGTTGATCAGTTTAGTTTCAGTGTAATAGTCATCAGGATACTGTAAGGAGCAATAAATAGCGAATGATACCCATTATACAAGACCATAGTTACTGACATTGTAACCTACGGTTTCTAAGCATAAAAATCATACAAACTGAAATGTTTCCGCCTCATTTCACACATTCATTCATTCATTCATTCCAACGGTGTATATCACCAATTCAGTCAATAATCGTATCACTTTTCCTTTTGAATATTCCATTGTCATCTATCCAATTCCCTTTTATCTCATCATCTTCTTCTCACTTCGATTCCCTTTTGTTTCATTTCTATCTGTCAGAATTGGTGAACAAACTTTTATACTGAATGATGATTGAAGGTGAAATGAGAACTTTGGACTACAGGTGGATTGGAACCAATGACCATCGGGTTTCCTGGTCGATGCTCTATCAACTGACCTACGAGGTCTCAAATTCTCATCTCATCTCATCTCATCTCATCTCACCTTCAATCATCACATCAGCCAGTATGAATACTGCAGTCTGTCAAACTAGTCAAAATAATGAACAAGCTGTTTTATTGATGACAGTTTGTGTTGGCTTGATATGATTGAGGTGGAATCAGTCAATCAGATGATGAGTTGGCAACACTTGTGTATTTGCGTTTAGAATTGGATGATACATTGGTATTGTAGACGATGACGAGATATTTTGACATTGAGGATGGATAATGGTTGGAAGTGGAATGTAGAAGATATGTTTGGTTGTGTGTGGGAGTGATTTGTTGTGTAGATATACGTGGATTCCAACTAGGTGGTGGTGTTCCCAGTGCAACTGGAACCCAGCGCTCATCGATGGAAATGGTGTCGTACAAGGACTGGCTGTGGTAACTCAGTAGGGTAGTGGATAACCCCTGACCCTGATGACGGCTGAACTAATGAGTGAGCCCTAAATAGGACGAAAAATTGGCTCTAGTTTC